ATTTTTCCTTATTCGAATATCAAAGCTCTTTGAAATGTAATATTTCTGCAGTGCGTCTATTCCAATTAGAACAGTTCTTAAATCCCATTACTTTATACTATTCATAACTTGTATATATGCTTGCTATATCGCCAAAGTATTATTTCATTTTGATTTTCTCTAATAAATTAACTTTACATACATATAATAAATCCAAATATTCCATTTGTATCCTACGAAATCCATCCATATGGCTTCTTTAATTCAGTTTATGTCTAGTTAATAGGTCATAGATTGTCTTCTGAAGCAAAAATTCAATATTGCTTTCTATTAATTTTATTTTTTATTCATGATTTTAAAACTTTAACCATTTATTTAATCTCGCCATTTCTTTTTTTTAGATAAACATGGACAGGCTACATCAGTCGTTAATGCACTCACTCTGGCTCAGCATCAGACTCGTAAGACACCAAATAATTTCAATTCCAATACTGTTGCTTCCAGTTCCAGGTATTGGCCAAAATGCCCATCATGTGGTCGATGTCATCCGTTTCGGTCATATATACAATATCCATCCACAAAAACTGAAAATGTATTGATTTCGCCAAGAGCGCCATCATGTAGTGACATAGGCACTCATAAGAGGATTTTGGCTTCGCCCTTTGGCGAAGTGTTGTTTGCCCCTATAGTCTGTCTTTCAACAGAACAATCGGTTCACAAAGAGGCACAGACAGACATCCCGAATGAACTTATATCGAAGCATAGTTGTGAACCTGCTCAACAACATCACCATTCTCTTCATGATCTGCAGCAGAGGCGACAGTATCACCCTTCTACCATTGAAGGAAGACAGAATAGCATGATGGGTGCAGAGGATCGACTTTATAATCCTCAGCCTAACGTAAGGTCTTCATTACTACCTGAGAATAATCAGTTCCAACATGATTTAGAAAGATCTATAGCCAAACCAATGAATGAAAGTGAAAAACTAGATACTGAGATAGTTCGAGAAATAGAAAATGAGGATGGAATACAGTGGCCCAGTGAAACATTTCATTATTTTACTGACTATGAACCTAATGCATTATTGACGGATCCAAGTTTGCTGACGAAAATCAAGGTTGAAAATCCTGCAGAACTGGATAAAAATACGATTGGCAATTGTGTGCAGCGAACTCCACGGGTTTCCGGTAGTCGTGGCGCATCCACAGTCATTCAGTGTTCAGATCATGTTTGCAACCACGATGTACATGTACCGGATTGTGAAGAGCCGATAGCCAATGCTGACATTGGCCGCCAGCGCATAAATAATTTTGACATTTTGGCTAGCCGATCAGAGCGCCAAAACCCATCTGATCCAGAACCAGGGCTGCATGCAAGCCAATTGAGTTATTATGGTTCGAAAAAGGCATCAACATTTGTGGAAGACCTTTTATTAAATCGCGTTCAGGGCGAATGTCTGACAGTAACGTCCAAGCTTGATCAAGCGGATGATGGTGTCTGTGAACAACTGGGCAACTCTGAGGTCATCAATCGTCAGGGCAACCTGGTTCACTTAGCAGATGAAGTTGTAAATACTCATGAGGAAACGGCATCCACACCGGAGGAAAGCCCAGAAGACAATTCTAAGAAGTCCAATTCAGCTGAGCCAGAGAACGCTAGAGAAGCACACTATTGGTCAAGAATGCTATTAGAAGAAGTTGCAGGAAATGCTGCAGAGGAGATGGGATTCGAAGATAATAATAAAGTCTCCTCGACTGCATCTAATTCTGGCATTCATGCCAATGAAATGCGCGCCAGCAACAGTATGGATGAGTTCACATCCGAAAAGGTAAGTAAATCTTCTATTGTTCGAGGCTGTCACATTTGGTTGCGTAATATACTAGACGCGCGTCAACTTTGGCTTAGTCAAGCACGTTTACTTTCTTAAACTCTTGCGAATAAGGCAAGATCGATATAAATGTATGAAAGTATATTAAAAA